AAGGGGTGGACTGGTGGTTTTTAAAGCACAGTTGTGTAACTTCTCTCGATGGTTTGATTACCTTTCAGGGCCCTGGAATGGCAAGAAAATTCTCAGCACCAGGTCAGCTCTGTATCTCTATGACACCTTCCCTGGGTGCTACGCCCATCCCTGCAGCATCAGCTACCTCTTTAGGTCCCTTCAGCAAGGCCATGTGCCCCCCGCAGCAGTACGGTTACCCGGCAGCGTCCTTCCCCCCGCCCTGGAGCGGGGCAGGGGGGCCAGCACAGCCACAGCTCGGCCAGTTCCAGCCCGTGGGTGCCACGTCTTTGCAAAGCTTCAACATCAGCAATTTGCAAAAGTCTGTCAGCAACCCTCCAGGCTCCAACCTGCGGACCACTTAGCCACGCTCGGAGGCCCTGCTGGCTACACCTCGGGACAGGACATGGGGAGGGAGATGGGCCCTGTATCAACTACTAGTGCTGCAATGAACTGGTAGCTTGCCAGACTGGGAATGGATTTCTCTTTTCCTACCATTGCTGTCAACTCTGTAGCGGGAGTTTCCCCACACGCTTGGAAGGGGGAGGAGGATGATCAGCATCCTTGTGATGGGACAGTGCTTTTCACTGAGGGGGCTGCTCTTGTGTGCAGTGAGAGCTGTGAGGAGAAGCCATGGGGTCAGTTCATACAGTCTTGCTGTAAAATTTTCCTGGTTGGAGGCTGAGTCCACACGTGTGGAGGTGGGAGAGCTGAACCCTAGCATGAGGCTTTAGCACGCTTCTCACCTCTTCCTGAAGAACCAAGATCAGGAAAAAGCTGTCCAAATCCCCCTCCTCTCCCTCCCCCCAGTCAATCGTATCTGGCTCTGAAATGATGGGGCACACGAATGGACTTGTGGTGCAGCCCGTGCTTGATAGGTCATTACTGCTTTAAGTAAGATATTAACAGCTTTGACTGCAGCATTAGAGCAATTTAAATTGTTAAAAAAAAATTTTAAAAGTTCCCTGCGGACATGTACTTACCATCAGTTTTGATGTGGAAACACTGTGATATATAAATGTTGTTGGACAACAGTAGTTTAAAAATGAGTGGAATATAGAGGGTTAAAAAGTTAAAAAGAAAAAAATGGGAAAAAAAGCTAGCTATATCCTTATACTTATTGGAGACACTTTAACTTTTTCCTTTGTATTTTCATTGTATTAGATAAATAAATGTGAATGTAAAATTGTATAAATTAATGTACTTGAATACTTGTCTGTTCTCCCAGTATGCTTGCTGGATATTTTAGTGCCTTGGACTTCTCTTGCTTCTGCAGTTTAGCGTCGTCTTCCCAGCAGAGCCCAGGTGGGCAGAGGGCAAGTTGAGGGCAGGATGTTTGTGCCCAGTGCCCGGGACGCTCCGGGCTCCTGCTGGGAGCAGGAGCGAGGAGGGGAGGTCACCGCGGCCGCGGGCCGGAGCAGTTCTGTGTGTGGGGAAACTTGTCCAGGTGGGCAGAGCTGAAGGTGTGGGGTGACAGGGGCCAGGTGGGCTGGGACAGAGGGATGCAGGTGAAGCTAAAACAAGACTTAACCAATATTGGCTCTGGAGGCAGGAGGGCTGGGTCAGAAACGGAGAGAGGATGGGGAGGACGTGTATCTTTGGGAAAGGCCCAACTTAAGATGCAGTTTGACTCCACCTGCGAAGTGGTAAAGATGTTTGGGCAGGATGTGACTTGAGGGAGAGGTGCCATTGCTCGTTGGCATGGGCTTGTCTGCTGGGATTGCTTTTCTTACCTTTTTCTTTTTTTTCTTTTTTTTTTTTTGGTAAAATTCATTTAAGCCAGGAACAGACTGTCCTGGTGCAACGTCCATTGCCGGCAATGGATGTACTTGAAACAGCCGGCATCAAGAAGTTTCCTCTGTCTGTCTTGGAGGATTTACAATTTTGTTCACTCTTAACAAATTTCAAGCTGGTACCAGGACTGTCACTGTCTGTCACTTGTCACCTCTTAGTACCTGTACTGTATCTTTTGCTTTGGTCATTCTCCCTTTTCGTATTTAAGAAATACTGGTTTCCTCCTCAAAGTCAAAATAATACCAGCCAGTATTTATGTAGTGCTGCAAAAAGCTGTGAAGGATGAGGGTGCAGCTTCCTGGTGCTTGGCAGCAGCTCCCCAGTGTCCTGGAGGCTGGTGCATCACAGGGGTGTTACTTGTCCACGTTTGTTTTAATCTCGGAGCGCTGTTCCCTGCTGGGGCCTTAACGGGGAGTTTTTGTGTCTGCAGATGTTCTCACTCTTCCATTTTCACAAAGAAACGTGTGAGATGCTTTGCGTTCCTGTCCCTTGTTTTGCAGCAGTTGTGGCAGCAGGGCAGGCCCAGGCTGGAGAGGAGCAGCTCCGGGGGAGGTTCAGTGGGACAGGAGCAGGCTGGAGCTCCGGGGGGACACGAGAGGCTCAGGGGGAGCAGGAGAGCAGCGGGCCCGGGGCTGAGGCCAGGAGGGAACCTCTGGAAGGATGGATGGATGCAGGGGAGCACACCCAGGGAAACAGGAGCAGGGACAGAGCTGGGGCAGTAATGAGACAAGGGCAATATTCGTGGCAGGGGAACTGGTCAGCTGGATGCAGCACATGGTTATTTAAATTTGATCTAATAAGTTTGAGGTCGTTTCTTCACTTAATGTTATGCAAGAACTGGTTTTATTTACCGTTGATTTTTTTTTTCTCCCTCCCTCTCCTCCTGTGGATGAATAACTGAAGTCTAGAGGAATAAACTAATGCTACTGAACTGTTAAATTATTTTGTTTAATATTACACTTTGAGTATCTTTTTCCACATAAAATCTGTTTCTGAATTACAAGCGTTTTCTTTACATTATTTAACAATGTACACTGTAAAAATAAAAATAAAAAAAATAAAATTAATTGAAACTTTGGGCTTCCCTGGCTGTAGTTAGTTGTGTTTTGCACTGAACCCTTCTCATATGACTGCGCCCCTTGCTGCAGTTTGTTACCTTTGTAGAATATTGAATGAAGCCGTTCAAATAAACCAGACCTGCTTTGGTTGAGCTGTGGGTTTTCTTGTGGAACAGCAGGTTCCAGCCCCTCTGTCCTTGTCCTGCAGTGATGTAACTGTAACCCAATTTCCCAGTTTGTCACAGGAAATACTAGAAACCAAATTTAACGAGAACCTTAACTGCTCAAAAGCAGTGACGAGTTAAGAGCGTTTAGCAGGACACTCCAAAACAAAGTGCTGCAAAGAGCGATCCCTAGGATGGACCTTGAGGGAGGAGAAGGGATCGGCTGTCGCTGCTTTTATGGCTGGGACTGTCACCGAATTGCCAAACACGACACAAGTTGGTGGAGGCAGAGGTGGAGGGAGGGGAGGAGTTTCCTGGCGGGTCCTGTGCGTGCTTGCAGCACTGAGGCAGGAGCGGGGTGTCCTAAGGGCCCTTCCCGGCTCCTCTGTGCTGGATGCCAGCGGGGATGTGCTCCCATCCTGCGGGCCGGGGAGGAGGGACTCCTCAGCGACCTTAAAAACAGGAATTCAGTCCTCAGATCGGAACTGGAACGGTCAAGAGTGAGCAACTTCACAGCGTCATTCTCAACTGCAGGAATTTGGTATTTCTAAACACTAATTGCTGCGGCATTTCTTTCCATTTTAAGAACAGCTTCTGTTATGAGTCATGCTGTGCAAGCCTGGAAGGGAAAAAAAGCTCCCAGTATAAGTTTTCCTGCCGTTTTCAAAGGGACCAATCGCGAGAGGCTCAGGGAGTGACTTTGTTAGAGGAGGCACAGCAATATTTGCAGTTTCCAGAGCCAAGGAAGCTGAGGCCGTTACATTTTTGTTTCAGACTTTTGAATTTTTTTCTTTGCAAAGGTTTGGAGCAGTTTGAATTCAGTAATTTCGGAGGTCTGCACGCTCCCCTTCTAGCAGGTATATGGTTTCAACAGCGAGGGCATGACTCAAACGTGTGGAATGTGCTTCTTCCCTGAACTTTTCTGAGGCAGCACGGAATTGGCCAGGAACAAGTACGGGGAAATGTGGAACTGTTTTCTAGATGTAATCTATTACCGTTAATGACGGCCTGTCCTGTCTTTCCGTGCTGAAGTCAATCTCTGTTCTTTGTCCTGGATAGTAAAGGATCTTTTAAGGGAAAAGGACTGATTAAGTGATGAAGGCAGAGTAGAAGAAGAATAAATGCTGAGTATTCTAAATGTCTTTACAGTTAGACAGAGCAGTGAGGCAAATTATGGGAGTAAGGTCCCGTTTGAGGCTTGAAATTGATGTCAGGGCTGGCCTAGTCCCAGAATTTGTGTAAATTTTCCTGGTTTTCCTCTAACTTCCAAATGTGGCATCATTCTTCTTGCTTTCCCTCGTGGCCTCCTGGGGACGGCGGCACCACTCCTGCCACACACAGGAGCCCGAGCCCTGCCGTGGTGCTGCCCGGAACAGAACCGGCCAACCCAGCAGAACTCCTCCCTTTCCTGCACGGAGCTGCTCGAGATGGAGAAGGGAGTATTCCTCCAATACCGCTTACAAATTCTTCTTTTGACCTGCTAACTAGAAGGACCGACCAGCTTTTGGCTTTGCTGTAGCCTCGGGCCCCTTTGAGGTTTCTGTTTGCCCATCCTAAAGCAAAGGAGGCTGTGCAGGTGCAGTGCTGCCCTTCAGCTTTCGAGCCGCTCAGCAGGGAAGGTGGAATGGCTGGCAGGGCAGAGAGGCACGAACAGCTCCCAGCGGGGTTTGTTTTTCAAATTCATGTTTATTTCTGTATTGAAAGGGGTTGAAAACTTATTTAAAAACAGCAGTGCAGCTCCCATTCATGTCCCAAAGGACTGGAGCAGGCTGCGTGTTCGGGCTGGCAGCGGCCCCGGCGAACTCCTGCCCTGAGGCTCGGGAATGGGAACGGACTCGGGAATGAGAGCGGGCTCGGGAACGAGGGCTCTGCCCCGGCCATGCAGACACGGGACAAAGGGCGGGGCTGCACCTCAGACACAGCCCATGTCACTCCCGGCCTGGCCACAGCTCGTTCCTTCTGTCCCTGGCCACGATCCCCCTGCTCCCCATTGTACTGAAAATCTCTGTGCTGGAATGCAGCACTGAGGGAGATACAAGCTCTGAATTGCATTTCATTTTTAACAATCCATTCTGTTACAATTTACAGGTAATATCCACTTGTAATACGGCCACAAGGCTCGTGCTGCAGAGCACAAATAATGGCATGGTTATAGAAAAAGAAATACATAATAACCTAAGAGTACATGAAGTTCTTGCTGATTGTATGAAACTCTTCTCTGTTGCTTCACCATAATGTACAGCAGAGTCCATGTGACACAATTCGGAAAGCCAGCTGCAGCCTTGTGATGTAATCCATGACAGAGGCACAGATCCCACGATGTGCCTCACATAGGTTCCAGCCTCCTTTTCTTCAAGCTCTGACTTCTCCCGAGTGGGCTGCACCCTGCCACACAGCAACAAAGTGAGAAATGGACTTTTTTTCTGCCTCTAAATGTGTTCCTCAATTCTTTTTCTAACTCTTCCTTGATAGGACAGTAGGATGGAAAAAAACAGTTCTCCAAGACCACTGTCCCAGAATCTGCAGCCTAAATGAAAGGAATGTTTCTCCCACTGGAGTTTCTCCATCTCCCAAGAGCCCCTGTGAAGGCAGAGCTCAGTCACATACCTGGGCTGTGCTGGTGGGCACAGCTGGTGCTGGGGGCTGCAGCAGGGGGCTGAAGCTGTGCCAGCCTGGCAGAAGCTTTGTGCTGGTTCCCCCTGCGGGGTGTCCTGCTGCGAGTGCTCATCTGCTGATGGCCATGGGGCATCTCAGGTGCCTGCTGTGCAGCTGAGGAGGGCTCTGGTATTTTGGCACCCATGCTCTCCAAGGGAATGTCCCAAAGTTCAGGATCATCTGGAAGGAATGAGAAGGGGATCTATGACACAGTACTGTACTACAGGAATGGCAGGAGCTCCAAGACCAGCACATTCTTTTCCTACAAGCAGTGACCACTATAAAATTTCAACTGTAAAGCATCTCTTATGTCAGTGTGCAGCAGGCTCCTGCCCCTTGTGCTCCGGACTTAAGCAAGGTGCAGGCACCACGGTGTGTGACCCAAAGATCCATGGTTATATTGAGAAAAGACACACCCCAAATTCTTGTGCTGTGTAGAATCACCTCAGGAGAAGGGTTTACCAATAGGTGTCACAACTCTACCGAACAGCCTAAGTGTGAAACCCCCCATAGTGATGGATATCATCTCCTTGCCACTCAGGCAAAGTTTGTATTGTTAAGGTCAGAATCACTCACACTCCTGTTATTCCAATTCTTCAGAGCTTTTACCCTTACACTGTATTGTGAATTAACCTGTTTTAAATGCCAATGATTTAACACTTCATTGCTCATCACTCTTTGGCTGACCTGCAAAGAACTCCTCTTCTATTGCCAGCTCCTGTTGCACTTCTGCTGGAGTGCTGTGCTCCACGGCAGGATTGGATGTCGCTGCAAGGAGGCAACACAAGAAGAGGTTAATACCAGAAATACAGAAACACCCTTTGGCTCCTTCCTAGCAGAGCACGAGTCTGAAATGACAGCCAGTACTACCACCAGGTACCCTCTTGTGTCCTACAGCTGGCTAAGGCTTGGAACCAGAATGTGGGAAGCAACATTCTGTACCTGATAACATCTGATGAGCAACTGTGCTACTTTACCGTGGTTTTTAGCCTGTCCATCTCCATTTCCTGCTACTCCATGGCTCCAGACCTCCCCATGAGCCAAGGGACATGGATCAGTAGCTCAGGCAATGTGTATTTGCCTGCAGCTACCACAGCCAGGTGCTGCAGCCTCAGCTTGGATGCAGCAGGTTGATGGTGCTGGCAACAGTTGCTTCAGGGTGGCTGGAAAGTTGCAGATTTAAGGATGCAGGTTTAGAGCTGACATTCCTGCCACTTTTGGAACACACAGGGGGGATATATGACAATGCTCCTGCCTTTGGCCTCAAAGGTGTGTTGATGCTCCTGTACTGTGGGTAACCTGTGCCTGCCAGCAGCTCTGGTGGGAAGTGCCAATTTGGAATGCCACTTCTCACCCTGTTTGCTGCTGGGAGTAACTCCTGGGGCCTGCTGCTTTTTCTCCATCTGCTCCCGGAACTGCTGCTGCAGCCGCTTCTGGCGCAGTTTCCTCTGGTAAGTGGCATCACATTCCATGGCCAGGGAGTCTGTGCTTCTGTCCTCCCCCCAGAAACACACAGTTAAACAGGACCTCAGCAATTACATTTTGTAAAGAAAAAATTAATTAAGAAGTAACAGTAAATAAAATCCACTGAACTAGTGCTTTATGGCATCTTTGGCACTGAGCTGTCTATGTGTTTTAAAAGGCCCAGTAACTTCTAATACAGCTTAAAAAATAAATTTATAACAGCAGTCTCACCTGGGAGCATTGGGCTGTTTCTGATCTGCTGTCACTACAGCTGCCTCTGTCTTGCCAGGCTCACAGCCAGGTGTCACCTCACAGTGCTGTCTCCCTGCTCCATTCTGCCTTTCCATATAGCTGCTGTATCTTGCTTTCTCTATTTCAGGCTCATAGTCCTGTATTTTAGCTTTAACCAGGTCTAACTCAGGGGGTACCTGGTAAAGGAGAAGAAAGAAAAGGTTCAGAAATTGCCATCATCAAGTTAATGAAATAAGCACAGGTTAAAAATCTATTTTGTTTGCTCTAAGTCGAACAGTAAGTTAGAAACCTGAAATGCTATTTCAGTACCAAGTAATTCAGTCAGTTAATCATTGAATTCCTGTGACTTTGTGTTGGTTTAAGTGTTCAGTGCTGCAGGGCAGATGGTGAGGTCTCCCCACACTGCTCTGCAAACGAGAACAGCTGTAGGTGATCAATGCAGGATTTTACAGCTTCTCACAGCCCCACAAGGCTGCTGCTGAGTGAGTTTGTTTTACCAGTCCATTCTCCTGCTTGTGCTAAAGGGCAAGGCGAGTCTTTACTGAGTTCTGAGGAAGGTGCACCATTCCAGTTTGTTAAAGATGGGACGTTTTGGCTCTGTCACCTTATAGGTTTGTGGCAGTGCCTCTAATAGGTGATGATCCTGGCAAACCAGAGACCTGGGCCATCTTCACCTGGTGAAGGTGAGGTGTCACTTTGGATCTGCTCCTGCAGCGTTTGACAGGACTGCCTTGCAGCTCTAGGCCTCTAGCAGAGCTGGGCAAGTCCTACTGTGATTGAAGGCAGCTCTGCTGTTAAAGCCCACAGATCAGCAGTTGCAGAAGGTTTCCTTTTCCCTCCTTCCACAAGGCAGGCCTAGAAGCCTCCTGCCCCAGCTGGGGCACAGCAGGAGCTGGCAGGATCCATGGTGGCTCCTGAGGTGCCACTTCAGGAACACTCTGCTCTGTGTGTGTGAGCCGTTTCCTAGGAAGGCTATTGGTGTGAGGAGCCCTGAGGAATGTGAGGCAGGGATAGCACCCCTGGTAAGCTCTGGAAGTGCAGGAGCAGGGGGAGCTCTGCATTCTCTGCTCTGCATTCCCTGTACTGCACCTGCCGGGGAAGTTTGTTCACGGCTCGCAGGTAGTCCTTGTCCAGGATGCAGTTCCCAAGAGCATTCCCAAAGCACCTGAGAAACAAGAGCACTCACTGTGACTCAAAACCCTTCCTTCCCACAGAACCTCTGAACACGTGCAAGTGCTGATCTTCACTTACTTCAGTGCTCTCTTCAGTCCATCTGTTACTGCCTCCTTTCTTGCCTTTTCTAAGGATAAGGCTTTAGACTTCAGGCCTTCACTGACTCCATATCCCACATCTTCATGGTATGACCCATCCTGCAGTACAATTTCATACATAAAGGGATTTTTACATGCAGGTGCTGTGCTTTCCCAAGCCTGGTTACTTGCTCTTGGCTGTTTGTTCCACAGCAAGGTCAATGTTTAGGACACCAGCAGGCTCCCTAATGCAGAGCAGTACCTGAGGACTGTGCTCTGACCCATGCAAGGACTTTCATTCACAGCTTCAGGCAATTGCTCAGCTACAGTCAGAGCCAACCAAAAAAAAAAACCACTTACCTTAAGCTGAACTTTCACAAAAGCACAGACACCCACATAGAATCTGCCATTGTTGAGGTCAACAAAGTCTGTAAGGAGATATTTTAAGTGTTAATTTATAAAAACAATAGCGGAAAAGAAACTTTTGTCTATGAAATAATTTCTTTCCTGTGATCTAGTAGAAGTATGCAGTTTGCAATTAATTTGCACAAGGTTTTATCAGGGACAGAATGCCTGAATTTCTAAGGAATGACTAATTATGGCATTATCTGAAAAATGTAGAAGTTTGAAGGATGTCAGTCCTTTCTTGACTGAAAAGTTGGGAAAGAAAACTGTGGTGCAGAATAGATGGAAAGCAATGAAGTAAGTTGTTCTATTTCTAGAATCTATCAGCCTGAGTTAAGAAAAGATTTCTGAAGGTGGGGGAGAGGAAGAAGGTAATTTAAGCTGCTGCTTTGACCTACTTCAAAAACCAGTCTTCAGCATAAGTACAGCAGATCTGCAAACAAGGACAATACTCCTCTGGCAGATACTATTTCAGCTATCATCAATATGGAAGAGGCTGAATCTTTAAGATCACCTGAACATCATGTAATAGCTGAAAAGTTTTCCCAAAGTTTTCTGTTGTAAAAACCTCAGTACTATCAGCTAGAAGAGAAGTCTGCAGAAGAAGATGGGTCCCTAAAGATTAGGGGAATATTAACTGAGAATATGAACTGGTTGGAGTCTAAAAATTACAGATGAGTATGAAAGTTGGCCCAGGACTGCTGGGTGTTACACAGTTTAATTGTAATTACTCTTGACTGAGTGTACCCACAGAGATCAGAGACTTGATTAGACCAGCTCAAGAATAATCATAAACCCACCCAGAATAATGACTATGACAGATCTAAAATGAAAACAAGTGTGGGAAGACAGGTTGAAAGGATAGTGCAGAAGGCAATCTCTCCCAATGAATTACAGCTGTACTGATCACTGAGGAGTGGAAACAGCCTTGCCTGCCCAATGAGGATGGGTGGTATAAAAGAGTGGGTGAGCTGGCCACAGGTTACACTTGGAGCTGGAAACAGAGAGTGTGCTGGAGTTTGGGATGGAGTCTGCTGGCTGTGCTGTGAGGAGGTAAGGGATATACCCTGAGAAGATGCTGTGTTAGGGACAGACAGGGTGAGGAGGCTGGGTAAGGGACAGGTTGGGGTAAGCCAGTCATGCAGAGAGGAGAGAAGGAGTCAGTGCTGTGTGGAGCTGTCTGTGAGGAAAGGAGTCAGAGTTGTCAGAAAGAAGTTCACTGAAAGAAGGCATGAAAAGTTTCTAATAAAGGACTGGTGGTGATGCCAGTCCAGTCTGTCTTGGCATAATTATGACACAGAAGCTTCATTATTATTCAATTTCTCTTGTTTTTACTAACTGTTAAGACACCTGGAAGTTGGCCTCTGCCCAGGTACTTTGAAGTGATGAAGTTGTAGCAGCTAAGTCTTGGTGTGTTCAGCCTGGAGGAGACTGAGGGGAGACT